CATTCTCCTGCTTCTTGATTTCTATTGGTGATCTCTTTCATGGCCCACTGCTTTAATTAGTTATTCTTGATGGGCCTATCACGATCACCAACATAGCTGATTGAATTGTCATTTCTTTCCCCAGAACGGATGGGGAGAGAGTACTCACACAACTTCCCACCCTCTGAAAATTATGATTCCCAGGATTCTGAGAGGAAACCAATGACATATTTGATGCTTCACAGTCAGGGGAAAAGAGAAAGATGGTAAGTGATTATTTCTAAACCCTAAACGGGTATCTGTATTGGCCTTTTCAATCTATAGCTTCAGGGGCATTCAATTGGTCAAAAAAGTCAAGATGATGACTGTGCCCCCTTTTTTTATGTGTGCTGCACACATGACACATGTAAAAAAGGGTGGGGCTTCAATTGTGCAGTCATGGCCATTATCTTGATTTATTTTCAACCCCCTTTCTCTTGTGGATGCTCTTGTCCAGGATATTAAACTGGTGATGAAAATGATATGGAGTAATGCAGGTTAGGTTTGTGCATTGTAACCAAAAAAAAAGACATTCTGATTGAGACAAAAATGGAAAATGGGATACAACAACAACAACAACAACACATGTTCCTTCTGGGGCAAAACGAACATGTAGTGGTGGAGGGAGGGACAGGGAGAGAGACTATCTTCCTGATCTATGGATCTATTTTAAGTCTAAAAATATGCCAATATACCTGAGGCTCAAGGTGCACCAAGGTATGTATAAACTATAAGACTGTCCACCACAAATTCCCATACATAACAGACTCCATTCATGGCTTCTCAGCTTCTGCACACCAGGGAAAATATGGCACTGGCATCAATGCCAGATCCCTATATTTTGAAAGTCCTTTTATCTGAAAAATGATTGCCCCCAATTATCCACCATTGCTCACCATTATGAACCACCACTTTGATTGTGTTCACAGAAACCATCTTCATACTGGTGAGAAGTCCAAACCAATATCTTCCTGAATCTTCAGTTTGGAGATTCTTCATGATTAAAGCAATGCAACCATTTACTATACCTTCTAGTATGACCTTTTGGTTTGGTTCAGTAGTCAGATATTGCCATCCTGGTTCTGTGAGGCTTATAGGATTTTTGAATTGGCATTTTTTGTATTGTTTTTCTTTGCACCAAACGACCTTTCCTTGCAAATACTGATAGGCACAAAAAGTTCTTATCCTGAGGGATGTTCCTTGAGTTAGGATCACCTCTTCTGGACTCTTTCCTTCATTTTGCAAACTTGCAGTAGAAGAACTTGAGAATAAGTAAGATTTACAGGATGCAAAAAGACCTGGAACAAGAACAGTATGGATATACAGTAACTGGCAGATCAAATAATCTATCTTGGGACTGAGATCAATCAACTTTGGGCAATAGGTGCTCACCATGGGAGGCACAAAACTTTCTCCAGCCTCAACAGGATTGAATGAATGTATATTTAGAATTCCCTGGGACAGGCTGGTCACTCCCAGAATGAGGCCTTGAAGGAGGAAAAATATACATCCAATCTGTATGTCTTTTGTGTATTTTTTGCAGGTGATGATACTTACCTGTCACATCTTTTGAGATGGCCTGAAACCTTTTGCTGTATGTGAGTTCAGCAATCACTTGCTCAATTGTGGTGTTAAAGTTTCCTGATTACTTTAACACCACAA